TTAAAACTGACCACTTCAGTCCTTTTATTAAAAAAGAAAATATTTTGGAAATAAATATAAATCACATATATAATAAAACAATTTTATAATTATGTAATATATTTTGCATTATAAATATCTGATAAATGTAGTTGATACTCAGGATAAAAATAAATGGTTTTATAAAAACATTTAAATTTTAAAACCATGCGTTTTTTTTCCTAATTGTGAAGATATTGTTAAGCAAAGTACGAAATTAATTTTGTATAAAGTTTGGGAAAAATTCCCTACAGTACATCTAAAAGTGTATAATTTTAATATTAATTAAGGCTAATTAATGCATCCACTCCTGTATTGTTCACTTTTCAAGAAATTCACCACTTGAAACCCTTCCACCTCCACTTCATTGCCTGTACCTTCCTGTTAAAGTAGTTACATTTGCAGGTGGAGGTATAGCTGAGAGGTAAAACTCTGGGCTATTATGCACAAAGCCCTGGGTTTGATTTCCAGAACTTCAAATAATAGCAAAATAATTATATTTGTTAAACTGGGCTCAATATTAAGACTAATGGGATGCATATATATATTATATATATATTATTCGCTGCGGTAGTTTTTTTTTCAGAATTACTATAGGGAAAAATGTATGAAGGCATACATAAAAGCTGTAATCCTAGTCACTAATCATTATCTGTATCAAATGTATTTATGAATTAAACTCACTGTTTTCCCAAACCAACCATTCGTAACTATCATGAGTCTTCCTACAACATTCTCTCCTTTCTCTTTGAAATACTTAAAATGTATATATTACTTTTCAATATTGAATGATGCTTATTATTTGGAAAATTCATTTGGCTTAAGAGACGATGTCTTTTATAAGTAAAATAGCCCCAATGTGTAACTCAGAGTGCTTTCTAACTAAAGTCTTTCTTATTTAGAGTAAGGAATGTATGTGATACGTATTAAGTTGCGAAAGGCAGGACCTCAGTAAGAAGTGACAATTTAAGGTGACAAGATGGTGAAAGATAGAAGAAGGTAGAAAAATACTTAAATTTCAGGGTCTTCAGTGGAGCCCGTTTACCATTCTGCCTGTAGTCAGGAGTTCAGGTAGGCATCCACTGCGAGGCTAGAGCTTTGCCAACTGCAGAATCTCCAGCTCCTGCAAGTATCCTGTGCTCGGCGCTTTTCAGTGACTCTCTGTATGACACTGAGTCGCACCAGAATTCCACGGAGTTGGCTCTGACCCAGTTGTTTCACCACTCAGTTGTTTTTTTTTTTCTTCTCCTACCTTGAGTTCTGTCATTATTTCATCGAAATGGCTAAGACGTAAAGTTCTGTCTTAAGTTTGAATCAGAGCATAACTCATTTGCTCTTTTCTTAACTTACCAAAGGAATGTTTTTCTAGGTTGGTTGGAATCTGATAGAATGTACTTTTCTGTTCTTTTTACATGCGGTATGGCAGGAGTACTGAATGTCTGCCTGCACCCTCATTTGTAATACATAATTTTTTGTTTTGTTTTGTTTTGTTTTTGGTACCAGGGATCGAACTCGGGTCCTTGTGCTTGTGAGGCAGGCAGCAGAACCACTGAGCTAAATCCCCAGCCCTGTAATACATAATTTAATTAATTCTTTCAAATAACAGTTAGAGGAGGTGGTTATTGTATTTAGGCTTTAAACGATGGATAGTGAATAGTTCTGATTGCCAGACTGATAGGAAGTAACCTGAATACCAATCAGAAATACTATTTTTGTTTTTGTTATTCTTGTGCTGTTTTATTTTTTAATAAAGACTAAGCACTAGGTTTAGATAAAACAATTTAGCAGCTACAAAAACTGAGGCAATCTTTTCACCACAGCTAGCACTGTAGCATTGGGTATTTTAAATAATTATTTCTTATACAAAATTTATTCTTAATGGATGATTATGGAGAGGAGCCACTATAATGACTTGAAATTGGTCTTGAGAATCTGAAGGAGAGTTTGGAAAAAAAAATGACATGTAAATGAAAAATAAGAGAGATGAAGGACCTGAATAATTATATTCTTTTAGAGCTATGATCAAGAGATTATTTTCTTGTTGTTTTCCACAGTGCATGATTTTCAAGTTTCTTTCTTATAATAATAGGAAACTCTATAACAAGAGTTTGGAATAACAGTTGTAAAAGACAATGGTTAAATTTTCAGTAATTTTGAAAGCTGAATTTTAAATGTAACTATTACTAAAAATTATATTATGAAATAGACTGTAATGAAATTACTATTAATTAGAATTAAATTATATTTCTAAAAAGTAGTAAATTCAACTTCCAATTTCCTAATTACTTTAATAATGCTTTTGAGAGACTGAATAAAAATGATAAAAAGCCATTGTTTAGACTAAGATCTTCAAACAGATCAAGCTAAAAACTCAAAACAGTCACCCATGTGGGGAAGTTCCACATCAACAAACTGAAACTAAGCTGTTTATCTGAACTTTTGGAAAATCATGATTACAGATAACAGCCAAATTTCCCAAACAGGCCAGGTCTAGTTGGCAGGATAATGACATTCCCTTTGTATTAATCCTTTCACAAAGTACACAAGTGGAAAGAGCCTGATGTTAACTAATCATTTTTGTTACATATCTCCCTGTTTCCACCTCACAAGTAATTTTGTAAGGATCAATCTGCTTTTTTGTTCCTTTGTTTCTGCCTTCTTCAGCCCATTGTCTCTGTTTATAAAACCAACTTCCTCCATCAAGAAATGTATTCTGTTTTATGGAATGAAATGTTAAACAACTCTAGATTAGAATGTAAAGCCAATTAAGATCGTTAAAATACATTGTCATTATTTTTGCCCTTTGATAGAAGTTGTTTACAGCCACTGTGTCTCTAGGTGTGCCTCTTTCTGTTGCCACTTCCAATAATATGTGAATACCTGGATATGCATTTTCCATAAACTGTTTATGCCATAGCAATCAGCAAGCAATACAAATCCTGGATGGATTTATTATTTTATTCATTATCTAGGGTTATGTAGAAATGGGTTGTGTCAATCGCTACTATATTGCAAATAGCACAAGATATTGAAGAAATGTTTTTCTAGTATTTCAAAATTACATTCTGTTCAGTAAAGTTGCTCATATTGCTGGCAAACCTGTAAAGTTCTGATATAATCGGGTTTTTGATGTTGCTCTTTCCTCTTAACATGAAAAAAACCACAGGCAATATTCATTTAAGAACTCCTTTTGTCAGTTTCACTCATATTTTATTTATACAGAAAAGTTTGGCAGAACAATGAAAGCATCCTGGGAGAATTATTTAGCTACATGGAATTTATAATAATATTGAGTATTTTATTAAGAATTTAAAATTTGTATGCTATACCTCCTTAATACCAGGAGTTGGAAAACAACCGCTCAAGGACCAAATTGGGCGGTACGCCATGCTGTTATTATTTGTTTTTGAAGAGATGGGCTTTCCCACATTGCCTAGGCTGTCCAGCACTCCCGCTCAAGTGATCTTGCCGACTCAGCCTCCGAAGCAGCTGAGGGGAGTAGATACCTGTCCCTGTACTGGGCTGACACCCTTTCTGTAGATAAAATTTTGTTAGGAGAAAGCCATGGTAATTCATTCACTCACTACTTGTGGCTATGTTTGTGCCACAAGGGTAGGACCAAATGGTGATGACAGAAGTAGTACTGTCCTGAGAAGCCCAAAACGTTTATCCTCAAACCCTTTTCAGAAGCTTTGTCATCTTTCTATAAAAGCAAATCTTTAAAAGTTATAAATGAGAATACATTTTCACCAGACTTGATTGAGAACCGTTGAACATTTTCCAACCCACATACCTGTGATCCAAAACCACACACACGCCAACCAGGTCTAATTCCTGTTCCCGGGTAATCCTTGCTTACTTCCTGCCTCAAATGCTTTCTCTAAATGTCCCCTGAGGAGACCACCATGTTAGGCCTTTTATGTGTTTCCATAATTGAGGTCAGAAATATGAACTAATTTTTCACAAAACACAAGACTTTGATATAGAGATGAGACTTCAACTTTGTTTTAAATTTATCAAAGCTCCTAGAAAGCTGACCCTTAGGCCGTCAACTCCCTTAGTAAAATATATGGACTCATATAATTGAAGATAAACTATATATAGCTAATAAAAAACAACTGAATACAAATACAAATTCTATACTCTGTTTCATATTATCTTTAGGGCAAGTAGAATAAGTTTTAGAACAAAACTCTTTTTGGTTAAATACTGCAATTATTTTTCATTCAGACTTGGACAATTAATTTATTTTAAAAACAGATTTGTTTCCAAATCACAATCTATAAAGCAAAAGACCAAAAATGAAAATTCTAGTATCCTAGAGGAGAAATAATATGAAGGTTTGAATCACCATACATATGTGTATGTGTTATTTATTTTCATTTTTCAATTTACTTTCTGCTTTTAGATTCAGGTAACACCTTACATGGTAACTCATGAAAAAGTGAGAATGTTTTCTAATCACACATTTATGATATCCCTCTTCACAAGTGTTCTGAATGATGATAGCAGTTTGCCATAATATAGTTTCACGTGACAGATTTAAAAGGGTCTGCATACCATAACTAATCTAAGGCCTTGATCAGGTTTGATAATTAAAATATGGCAATTTTAAATTCTACTTATTTCTGGTGTAATATAATCAAATGAATTGCAACCTTTTAATAAATTACAATCTCATCAGAATATCATTAATATTATAGAAGTTGTCATAGCTTTCCATGATATTAACTCTTAAGTCAATGTAAAAATATAAAAACAGAAAAAGGAAGATAGACTCAATAAAAATATATTTAAAGATCTGAATTTTAATTAGAATAGTAAGATTAAAAAGTGGCAGTCTCAAATAAGAGCTCTATGTAGTTCTAATCAGATCTAGTTTAACCACTCTGAACTATAAATTTACTTTTGGAAGAGAGGCACATCTTGTTTATTTTGTTTTCTTATTTGTATGTTTTCATTCATGTCTATGTTAAAGGTAATTTGTCTTCAATTAATTACATTGCTTTGCTCTTCCTTGTTACCTTTATGCTTTCGTATATTTCAATATACTTGAAGGATTTTATTTAAACTTAAAGAGCATTGACCTATAAAACTTCTTTTAAAAAATATTTAAATTGATATTTGTTTTTCATTTTGATTGAGGGATTTTATGCATTAAATATTTCATACTTGAATGATTAAATTTCATTTTATGGTGGAACTTACATATTATTTACTTTCTACCTTTTGATTACACATTGTTAAGTAAATTGTAGATAGTGGGTTTTAGTACTGAATTAGGTTCTCTTAGCCGAGTGTTAATATAATTATATTTTTAAAGCATTATTTCTTTTATCATATCTTTTCTTTCAATGGTTACTTTTTAACTATGGCTTAAAGTTACTTTTAAAAAAAAGAAGTATGCTTCTGGCTTTAAAAAGTAGTTTTGATGAAAGTGTCTTTAATGTGACAAACAAAATTTGGTTGTTTTTTTAAAAATCTTCAAATTAAGAATGATGTTTTCTTAATCTTATCCATAGGACCCAGCAAAAGTGTGGAACTAAAGATGTGTTGAATTATTTTGTTGCTTTTTACATTGTTAGATATAATAATCATTTAAGCCTGTCACAGTAATAAGAAAATATGAAATATCTTAATTAAATGCATAATTAAGGAAATTCAATAAGCAGAGGGAGAAAGACCTAACTAAATACCTAATACAAGAGTAAAAGAGAAGTTTTAAATGCAGTCATCACTTTTTAAAGTACTGAGAAGTCTTTCATGGAATATACATGTAATCCCAGCTACTAGGAAAACTGAGTCAGGAAGATCACAAGTTGGAAGTCAGCCTGAGCAATGTGACAAGACCCTGTCTTGAAAACAAAATAAAACAAAAAAAATAGAAGGGAAGAGAAGAAAAGAGAATAGGAGTGGAATAGAAGAATAGGCGGGGGGTACACCTCAGTGCAAGAGGCCCTGGGTTTAATCCCCCCATCCAAAAACAAACAAACACAGTAATAAGAAAGCTTTAGAAAATATAATTAAAGTATCCTACACCCCAGAAAAATACTTTTTTTTACAACTTGACACATAGTTTTTTTTAATTTTTATTAAAATTATTGGTACATTTAAATTATACAGTATAATGACATTCATCATTGGAAATTTGCACCTTTACCTAATCCATCTTGGTTCTTATTTCTTCCCCGTTCCCCTGCCCTCCCTTCAACCCCTCCACCTGTCCCTATCTGCAAAGACTTTGTTTCCATTTTTTTTCTCATATTCCATTCCCTTCTTTCTTTTCCTTTACCCCTCCCACTTCCCCTTCCCCCTTGCAACTTTTCTTCCTATTTCACATTATCCATTATATCTTTTAGTCCTTATTTACGCTTTAAGTTTCTCACCCTAGAGAAACTATTCGGTGTTTACACGTGTGAGTTCTATTTATTTTACTTAAGAGTATTGTCTCAATGTACATCCATTTAGCTATAAATGTCTCTAGTTTCACATTCTTTGTGGCTGAGTAACACTCAGTTTTATTAAAAAAAAAAAAATTTTCTTTACCCACTCTCAAGTCAGTGGTCAATTGAGTTGCTTCCAAGTTTTAGCTATCATGAATTGTGCTGCTATGAACATGCGTGCACATATATTACTGTGGTATGATTCTTTTTTTGGTACTGGGGATCAAACTCAGGTCCTCGCTCTCCCGCAGCAGGCGGTTAAACCACTGAGCTAAATCACCAGCCCTGATTCTTTTAATTCTTTGGGGAAGACACCCAGCAGGAGAATAGCTGGGTCAAATGGGACTTCCAATCCTAGTTCTTTGAGGTATCACCATGCTGATTTCCACAGTGGTTTCACCAGTCTACACTCCCACCAGCAGTGGAACAGGGTTCCTCTTTTCCCGCAGCCCCACCAGTATTTGTTATTGGTTGATTTCATGATAGCAGCCATTCTTTCTGGGGTGAGGTGGAATCTCAGTGTTGTTTTCATTTGCATCTCTTGAATGACCAGTGATGTTGACCCATAGTTTTTAATTTTAAGGTATCAGTGGAAGACTTCAAAGATCATAGTTGCTACAGATAACCCAGTTGCTACTAAGAAACATCCAGTAGAAGATTGTTTATATTACAGAGGAAAGACACAGATGTAAATTTTATGAGAGAAAATTGCAGCACAATATTGGAACATTACTATGCAAACAATAGGCAGATCAGATTGGAGGGGAGATAGACAAGTAGTAATTAAATAACCAAAAGCACTAGAATGTTTTCCTAAACTGATGAAAGCCTTTAGCCTGCAAGTATAAAACATGCACTACGTTATTTGAAGAATGCAAATATTAGAAGTATAATGAAATTTTCTCAATTTTTAAAGTTAGTGTGATATCAATATTAATGTGATAAAGATAATTTGAAAAAAGAAAATTGTGTGAAATATATTCTAAATAGATTCTTAATTTTAACCTGAAGACTTAACACAAGAAAAATGTATCATGTACATAAATGCTACTAATAAAACTTAGTATGCCACCTGAAAGTGATTCTTATGAGTTCCACTTTGGGGAATCACTTGCTGAAGCAAGATCACTGGAGTAGGAATGCAGGGACTTAATTTTTACTCTAATACTAGGTAGTGGGTAAGTAATTTGCAGCAAAAAACAAGTAAGTTTTGAAGCAGAATTTCCCAGGTTTTTATCTGCAGTGTTATTCACCTAAGTCACCCCTCTCTTCTGCTCTGGGGAAGTAAATGCTATGGAAGATTTGCCTGGTGGGGGCTAGGGATTTAGCTCAGTGATAGAGTGGTTGTCTAACATGAGTGAGGCCCTAGGTTCAATACTTAGTAGTGAAAAAAATATGTAGATTTGTTAGGTAGAATTGATCATTGGAATACCACAAATCATTCACATATCTAAAATGTTATTGCTCCCAAGAAACAATTTTCACTGACTGGGGATAATAAAGACCACACTGAAAATGAAGTCATAAAGGAAATTCAATAATATTATGCATTGTTGGCCAACCTTGAGATTAATTATTGTGAATGTTTAAAAATATAATCTGGAAGTACATGAACACATTGGTACAGAAATCCCGTAGTTTGAAAACTTACTGAAATGCAAGTATCATAAGCCCATGGGATCACATGTAAAAGGTTGTTTATTTCACCATTAATTATAGTAAAAAAACCAAAACTTCAGTTTATCAAGATGGGGAGAGTAGAGCAAGTAATGATAATGACACTGCATGGCTCTGATCTTAGTGGAAAGAACCTACATTGACTGAAGACATGTCTGTAATTCATGGATAAAAGAAAACAGATTAAAGTATAAGAAGTTTAATCTTCAAAAGAATAAGTATGGTGGAAAGATGAATAGGAATTGGCTATTATCGCAACATTTACATTTTAACTTTAAATATATTTTGCAGATTTATGATGGAAAGGATAAAACGACACACCTATTAGGTGCTTTTACTGGTGCATCTATGCGAGGACTCACACTTAGTAGTACTTCAAATCAGCTCTGGCTAGAATTTAATTCTGATTCTGAAGGGACAGATGAAGGCTTTCAACTTGTTTATACTAGTAAGTATTTTGGAAAAAATAAAATGGTTAAATATTGCTGCTGAATATTTAGTAAATAACTACAACATGTAATGTGAGGCAAGGTGTAGTATTTGATTATCAACTTGGTGTTTATAACTGCCTTCTCCATATATAACTTTATTTTACCCCAACAACTCACTGCATAAATTAAAGCTATTCTAGGTGTTGTCATCTTTACAACTGATACAACTAAGGTTCAGAGAGAATGAATGATTTTGAACTCTGGGTTTATTCGTTTCTATGTATTTTAAATAGCAGGATTCTCCCTATCCAATATTTAAGAAATGCAATTAAGCTTCTTAACAGATATTTGAGTTCTCATCTAATTGCAAACTGCAGACAATGCTTGTACAATGATGATTCTTGGTCAGTCATTAATGATAACTGGATGGTGTCAGATGATTTCAAACTAAAACTTACCTAAAATTGTATTTGCTGTGCCTTGTGCTAAATTTTCTTATTAATGAATTCACGCAGACTTCTTATATCAATGTCAGCTTCTGACAAATAGTAGAAGTTCAATGACTGGTAATTATAGGTAGGTGGTTACATTGATTGTTATGTGAATTAAATGAATGCACTTTACCAGTGTCATAATATAAGAAATGAACTAGTTACATCAACGAGCAAGCAAATCTATTCAAAACTATATGTTGAGTTACTATGTAACACAGTTATGTAGCAGTAAGAAAACAAAGTATAGGGCTGGGGATTTAGCTCAGTGGTTCCGCCGCCTGCTTCACAAGGGCAAGGTCCTGAGTTTGATCTTAGGTAACAAAAAAAAGAGAAAATATGTAAAACAAATGATTATTTTTTTAATTTAATAAATTTACAATCTGTCAGATCAAATTAGTGATTGGAAGTTTGGAATACTCAAATATTTAATATAGAACAATTCATTAAGTAGCAATATTCAGAAGTCTTCACTGCTCAATATTCATAAAAATCCGATCCCTTATGCAGTTTCTCAAGAAGTCAGATGAGTAGAAATAAAAATAGAAGAATTAAAAATGTTACTGCACCAAAGATTATAATGTTGGGCTTTTAAAGGAATTTGAGTGAAATGATCGCTTGTTAAAATGTTCTGTCTCATTGGTATGAGAAAGAGGAAGGAGAAGAGTTAATGATACGTTATATTAATATATTTGGGTCCATAATACTGAGCGATTACTTTTGCTACCAATTTATTTTAAGGCTTTTTTCAACCTGTAGTAGAATTATTACATCATGGACATTAACAACACTTGATTGAACAAACGTAATACTGTATACCTACTTTGAAATCCTCAGAAATGTGTTTCCAAAATGATTTCTCAAGAATCCCTGCCGAAGAAGAATGTCCCACCAAATTGTGTCTGCAGGTATTATTGTAAGATGGACTAAAAGTGGTGTTACTGAGTACTATTGTTCATATAAAATTTCTGTGATCCCTGAGAAAGGGAATTATTTAAAAACAATTGTTTTCCTCTTGCCCTTTCTCTATTTTCTAATAGGATTGCAGTCAGTTTAAGATTGCCAGTAACAACCATAATACTTTCCTAATAATCTTTCTTTGTTCTGCTATATTTTGCATTTCTTATTGTATAAAATGTTTACAAGTTTCATAGAGAAATTCTAGATTTCTTTTTCTGATACATAAAATCTGTGTAACAAGATTATTGTACAAAGATACTAGAAATTGTTGGAGATACTTTCATTTAAAATTGTATTGGTTGCTAAGGTGTCTGGAATAAGTAAAATCATTTACTTTATTATCAACAGTATGACCTATAAACTGTCAAAAAAGAAAAACCTTTATAAGAAAATTTTTGGAGTTACTTTTCTTAATAACTAGCTGTTCATTACAGCAGATGTGTTGTCATAAAGATTGTAAACTATTGAGTTGAGAAGAGGGTGTAAAAGCAATTATTATTTAGGAGGACAAATATATTTCTGTGAATCATTTTCATTCTCAAAGATGAAGTTAAAATGTTGTAATCTCCATTTTGGTTCTAAATGATTCAGAGTCTTCTTCAGGGTGTCTCTGGAGATCACAAATTGGGTAAGTGGTTATGCACTTTTGTGAAGAAACAGTTGTATTATGAGCCCTTCTATGGAGGAGAGTCCTAAAAGTAGTAACATATTTGTTATCAATTGTATTTATTGTTAAGTATTACTTCTGCTGTTTACATTGGCAACTCTCCTGCATATCTGCATTTATCTAAGAAGTCAACCTCAGATTTAACTTTGAAAGAATTTTTCCTCATCTTCCAAATACATATTCTTCATCTTCCAGCTGTAGCACCCAGATGCAGGTGGCTTCTCTTCAGATTGGGCCCTGTCCATCTTTCAGATGGGCATCAAATGAGCACTGAACTCTAAGATCCATCTCAGATGTCTCCCCACTGACACTTTCAGCCAGAACTAGCTAACATCATTTTTTTTTTCTTAAATTCTTTTATTGGTACATTTTAGGTATACAACATATTTACATTTCTCATTGGGAATTGCACCTTTACATGATGCATTTTGGTTCTTATTTTTTTCCCCATTCTTATCCACTCTCTTCACCCCATCCATCCTTCCCTATTTACAAAGACTTTATTTCCATTTTTTCCATTTCTCATCATTTTTCCTTTCCCTTCTTGCCTTTCCCCTGCCCCTCCCACTACCCT